TTTTTCGTATCTTCTTTCTTTTTTATATCTTTTTCGTTGCACATGTGATACAATATATTCATTTTTAATACTAACGCTGTTTTTATTGTAACTGGTGTCCAGTGCGGCTATTCTCAATTCACCTTAGAATATCGACGGTAACTTAGAAGGTAGATATTAACATAAATTACTTAAGTACATAAATAAGATTTTGTTTTTATTTTATCTTTGCTAATTCTTTTTGTTGTTTAAGCAGGTAATAATCGTTTACCCAAAAAAGAGCTGACCGGAGTAAGTGTTTGGAATTTGATTGTCTTCTGTCGTGCTCTTCTCCTAGCAGTGCAGCGAGTATCGTAATAGATTTTTAAGATTATAATATAAAGAAATCATCTTATTTATCATATGTAAGTTTTGAAGTACTCTATTTCACTACAAGAGCTTTTATATTTGATTATTTGGAACCATTAATTTATGCTGAATATCAACATATATTGATGTATGTGTTCAAGGATATGTTAATGTTTTATTGATGGTTTTAGTTTGGTATTACAATTTAGTCAAATAATTGTACATTTAAAATGTAGTACGGAATACTTTTAAAATAATTGTGTATCACATTATAACGACAACATATGCTTTTGTATAGTATATAAGAATGATTAAAAGACATAACTTTTTAAGTTAGTAATTATTAGTTAGTAACTATTAGTAACTATTAAGAAGTCAATATTAAAGTGCACACAAATGGACAATGGTGTCATTGTTCCGCTTTAAAACTGCCGTCACTTTCCTGTATTGTCTTGCAACGGACACAACAGTACGGTCGAGTACCGACAATGGCCAACAGCGCTTCTTAACAAGCTGGTATCTGATTCGATACTAGCTCTATAGCATAAAAAGATTTTTAATTTATGTGAATGAAAGACGAATTGTGCATGCAGTAAGTACTGTTTTAATAAAAAGCAGAGCAAGGAATAGCTATGTGTTAAGCAGTTTCTTGTCAGACATAAACATATACATATGTGCTAAATATATGTCCCAACTACTGAGTTACTATTCATAAATGTCTCACTACACACACAAACTTTAGCAGTTCATTGATTTATGACTTTGTACAATTGATATGGTAAGGTTCCTTTGCCTACATCTTATATCAATAGCTTCGCACGTGAACATGCACTCTATTCTTTCCGTCTTTTTATCTGTTATATATTTTTTATTATGATTATTGTCTTCAATTTTTTTATTTTAATATATTATATTGTATGTATGTTTTGTATTAATTTTTATTTATTTTTTCTAGATAATAACAGTAATTTAAAATGGATTCCAAAGCTCGTTTAATCAAAAAGAATAAACTTAAAATTAAGTCTGAACCTGTAAAAAGTGAAACTCACTTACCTATAACATTTGAACCAACAAATATAGTTTTAACAGGAAAACCAGGTAATTATTATATTGCAATAACGAAATTTAAATAATTTGAATAATATATCTGATGATGAGTACGTGGTAATACTCGAAATAGTGTTGTATGATTAGCCAAATTTCAATAAATTAACTAAATTTTTTGTTCTTGTCTTTTCTTTGCTATGCAAATTCGTCTAACTTTTAAAAAATTCGTTTTCGTCATAAAGACGCGTCACTCTTGGCAAGAAAAATTAACAGTAAAAATATATTTTCTTTTATTTAAAGGAGTTGGGAAAACTACATTAATCAAAAGCATAATTGATCACTTACAGCAATGTGGAACGATTGGTTGCTGTGGCTTTTATACCAACGAAACGAGAGATACTGCAAACGAACGCACCGGTTTTGAAATTATCACTCTTGATGGAAAAGAATCGACACTAGCCAAGTGGGTGGATTTAAAATGTTCTAAAATATTTATTGCTTAACTATTATTTACTGCTTATTTATTTATATAGGACATTTACATTTGATGATGTACGTCGGCCTAAGATCGGGAAATATTCAGTATATGTCGAAAATGTTGACGCTGTTGCATTGGCCATACGTAATGCTCCCATGAATAAATTACTTGTCCTTGATGAAATTGGCAAAATGGAATTAATGAGTAAATCTTTTCGTTCTACTGTAAATGACGTAATTGACCACACTCTGTTATTAGCAACCATACCTCTAATCTATTCAATACCCATGTTGGAGCGTTTACGTAGTTCACCAAATACTAAACTATTTTGTATAACCAAATCAAATCGTAATACTATTTTTAAAGAAATTGTTGATTGCATTGAAGAATGCCTGAAAGTGAATTAATCAATTTTTTTTTAATTCTATCTCTTTATCTATTTATTAAAGTTTTGTCATAAAATGTAATTAGAGCAAAAAAAATTATTTTGAAAACACTTTTAAAAAGATATAAAATACAGTTCGAAAATATTAACGTCAAATTGTTTTAAACTACTATATTGATTATTGTATTATTAATTAGTATATTGTTGTTGTTATTGTTGTTGTGATTTGAGTTAGTGCTATTGCGCACTTTTACTCTTTTACTCTGTCCTTGATATATACTATACTTTTGCTCTGTCCTTGATATATTTTTTCACTGATTCGATCCTTAGATCTCTATGCATATCTGTTGTTCTAATATACCAAGGAATCTTAATTAGTGCTTTATGGCATTAGCTTTATTAGCTTTATGGCAGTATTTGAGGCTTTGCTGTATGTTACACATCCGTACAGTAGTGCTGCCCTAATTATTTGAGTATATAATAACTTTCAATTTTTGAGGTTGAAGCGATTAATAAAATTTGAGCTTCAAATTTGACAGGACCCGAGTTCGATTCCTGGTAATTATTTTCAAGACCACCGATGATGGGTATTTGGCAATACTCGAAACAGCTCTATAGTCACCCAAAAATTCAATTAATTAAAATAATATAAAATAAATTTTTGTTGTTGTGGTTCACTACTGTTCGAAAAACTCCTTTATGAGTTATATTATTATTATAATTATTATTATTTATTAAAAAATTATTTAAAATAATATTTGTTATATTATCATTACTCCAATAATAGCAATTAGTAAATTAAATTTAATTGAACAATCGTCATCCCTCCAAGTCATTCAAATCAGTTTTTCTGATTTATCCAGTCTTTTGTGACTTAAAAAACGCTTTTAAAAAACGCTCTTAAACACTTTACTAAATTCCAAAATTGTTCCACTACATCATTTTTATAATAATATTAAGAACAATAGCATTG